GCACGATAGCGTCATTTAAAATGTATCTAGACAGATACATGAATGGGCAGGGAGCAGAGGGATACAGATCCTTGGAAAGTAGGCAACAGGTTTAGATAGAGGATCTGGATCGGCACAGGCTTGGAGGGCCGAAGGGCCTGTTCCTGTGCTGTAATTTTCTTTGTTCTTTGTTTGTAACACATTTTGTACCTCAATAGATATATTTGGCATAGAATATAGAACAGGTCCTGCAAATACATTCTTATTACAACATATAGTTAGTAATCAATCTTTACATTGTTCAATTGTTATGGATTTTTCAGAAAGGAGTCAGCTCTGGGAGAATAATTATTGTGGAGAAGTCTGCAAAGAGTTAATAATTTAAAGCTACAGTCAATGAACTAATAGATCATAAATGGATGAATCACTATATATGAAGTATTTAAAATACACTAAATGAAATGTCCAAGTCAACTGAATAGACAATGCATTAACTTTATTCCTGATACATTCCTTTCACCTAAAAAATATTAATAGAATGATGTACTACTGTCCTTAAGTAAGTCTCAGAAGTCTGAATACATGTTATCTGATGTTCTAGTCAATGTGGAAAACTAAACCCTAGCTTATCACAGTTCTTTATATTTCAGATAATGTAAGTTGATTTTTGTTATTTGGAATAAACCAAGTAATATAAATACTGTCAACAAAACTTTTGGAGTTGCAATGAGGATAGTAGACTTTATCATTGCAAAACAATGAACATCAAATCAAAATTGAATGCATATTACAATTGTAAGTAGAAATTGTAACTTGGCAGCCATTAATATATAAAGATAACACATATCCATTGTTGATAGTAATTCAGTCATAGAGTCATACAGCATGGAAACAGACCCTTTGATCCAACCAATCCACGTCAACCGTGTTTCCAAACTAAACTGGTTCCACCTGCCTCCACTTGGCCCATATCCCTCTAAACCTTTCCTATTCATGAACTTATCTAAATGTCTTTTAAATGTTGTAACTGTACCTGCATCCACCACTTTCACTGGCAGTTCATTCCACATACAAACCACTCTCTGCGTAAAAAAGCTGCCCCTCATGTCCTTTTTAAAACTCTCTTCTACCCTTAAAAATATGCCCCTTAGTTTTGAACTCCCCTACCGTAGGGAAAAGACCCTTGAAATTCACCCTACTCATGCCCCTCATGATTTTATAAATCTCAATAAGGTCACCCCTCAACCTCCTATGCTCCAGTGAAAAATGTACCAGACTTTCCAGAAACAAAAACAGAAGTTGCTGGAACAGCTGAGTAGGTCTGGCAGCATCTGTGAAATCAGAGTTAATGTTTTGGTCTGGTGACGCTTCCTCAGGCCCAGAGTTAACTCTGATTTCTCTTCATAGATGCTGCCAGACCTGCTGAGCTTTTCCAGCAACTTCTGTTTTTGTTTCTGATTTACAGCATCCACAGTTCTTTTGGATTTTACCCAGACTTTCCAGTGTGTTTTTATATCTCAAACCCTGCATTCTTGGCAACATCCTTGTAAGTCTTTTCTGAACCCTCTCCAGTTCAATAATACATCACCTATAACAGGGTGACCAGAACTGCACATAATACTCTGGAAGAGGCTTCACCAACGTCCTGTACAACCTCAACATGACGTCCCAACTCCTATACTCAAAGGTCTGAGCAATGAAGGCAAGCATGCCTTCTTAACAACCCTGTCTACCTATGATGCAAATTTCAAAGAATTATGTACCTGAACCCCAAGGTCTCTCTCTGTTCTACAACACTACCCAGGGCCCTACCATTAATTGTGTAAGTCCTGTCCTTGTTTGTTTTACCAAAATGCAATATGTCACATTTATCCAAATTAAACTCCACTTGCCACTCCTCAGCCCATTGACCATTTGATCAAGATCTCTTTGTAAGCTTAGATAACCTTCTTCACTGTCCACTATATCACCAATTTTGGTGTCATCTGCAAACTTACTAACCTTGCCTCCTAAATTCTCATCCAAATCATTTATGTAAATGAAAAACAAAAATGCACCCAGTACTGACCCTTATGGAACAGCACTGGTCACAGGCCTCCAGTCCAAAACCAACCCTCCACCACCATCCTCAGTCTCCTACCATCAAGTCAATTTTGTATTCAATTGGCAAGCTCACCCTCAATCCCATGTGATCTAACTTTGTTAATTTGTCCACCATGCAGAACCTTGTCAAAGGCTTTACTAAAGTCCAAGTAAACAACATCTACCGCTCTGCCCTCATCAATTTTTTTGGTTACATCATTAAAAAGCACAAACAAGTTTGTCAGGCATGATTTTGCTCACAGAAAACCATCAGAATTTTACAGTGAAGAATACATTTACTTCACCATATGCATTTGATGGTGTTAGTGCTGTTTGTAATTGTTAACCACACCACGGGGATAAGAAAAAGAGATGTGTTGTGATAGTTTATGGTGCTACTTTTATAAGACGTGGCTGTTTTTATAGGAGGAAGTGCTATTATTTGGATGAAGATTCTGTGATCTTTACTGCAGCTGTGCTGGATATTTATGGATTATTAGGATACAGAAATAAGTTGTGATAGTTACAGGAAAATGTAATAATTAATGCAGCTGCTGTGACATTTGTGTGAGATATGATGGGATATTTATTGAAGCTTATGTTGAATATGACGTAATTGTGTCTGTAATACTTTGGAATTTATGCTGTGATGTTTTTGGGGCTTTTATGATATTTATGAGGTTTCTTCTGGAATATTTATGAGAGAATGTGGTATAATATTAACATTTGTGCAATGATATTCATGCAAGTTATTTGTGATATATATGGGCCAAATGTTAGGACATTTACTGGACTGTATTGTCATATTTAAGGTGGATATATGCTGTTTTATATATTGAAGCTTATGCTGGATTACATTTGGAAAATGCTTTGTGATACTGACAGAGATGTACTGGGCTAGTTGAGATTTATATTGTAAGATTTATGGTGGTTATGATGTAATATTTATTAAGATTTGTGTTATGATATTTGTAGGAAATGTTCTGGGATATTATTGGAAATGCGTTTTGTTGCTTCTGGAGAACATGTTGTGATATGCCTCACAACATATGTGTTTATTATTTATGACACTGTGCTGTGTTAATTTTTGGAGTTTGTGTAGATATATATGTACACAACATTCTGGAATATTAATGGAAATTTTAATGCTGTTCGATATTTGTGGATGATTGCTGGAGTCTTGGAACATTTATAGTTTTATGCCTTGACTTTTATGGGGAATATGCAGGATTAAGATGGATGCATTATGCAATTTCTTGGAATTTGTATTGATACATTTATAGTTTTTTTTCTGGGATATGTGAAAAGTATATGCTTTGATATTTATGGGATCTGTGCTGGCCTAATTGAAGTCTATGCTGATATTTACGGTAGACCTGCTGTGATATTGGTTGTGATTGTACGGGAATTAGGTACATGAAAGGCAAAGCACAGCATCGGAGTGTGGTCTAATCTTTATTTGAATTATGCTGACATGGTTATTCATATCTTTGTGCCGATATTTTGGAAGTTGGCATTGAGATAAATTTATAAATTGTACTCTGCAATTTATCTGATGACCTCAATGGCTTTACAGACCTTTGTAAAAAAAGCAAGTGAGTTTTTAAACTCACACTGTCAGTTACACTATCAGGGATGAACAGGCTGACTGATCCATGGCTATCCATTCATTTAAAACTATATCAATTGTATCATGAAGTAGTTAGTAGTCAGGAAATACTCCTGTAGTGACACGTTGAAAGTGATATCTATTTATTCTATACACCTCCTTTTATTTTGCAAACACTTTTGACAATTCTTCTTCCATCTTTATTGTTGGTAGAGCAATCAACATTGTTGCTGCAAAGCCCTCAAAGCACTTGCTTCATTCTTTTGGTGACAATATTCATTTCAAATGCATGGAAAACTGAGATGCGTGTTCACAATTTCTTAAAATGCTATATATCTCTATCAATAGCACAATTGTGGAAAATTGTCTACTAGCAATGTTTTATCAGTTAAAAAATAGTTGATGCACAAGTTTTTTTTTGTTTCTCTAAGTTAATCTTTTAATACAAGATTAATGTAGTAAACTACAATACCAATACTGATAGCACTATGTTAGATATGTATTAGTTTGGCACCTGTACTTAATTAATAATTGATCTTTGAGATAACTGAGCAGGTTACTCAATTGTACCAAAGGCACAAGGAAAACTTTAACCCCTGTGGACTGCAGTGGTTCTAGAAGGTGGTTCCCTATCATCCTTGTTAGGGATGGGGAATAACTGCAAACCTGGCCAATGTTGTTCACATCATATAAATGAATAGGAAGACAAATGTAAATTTCAAGCAAAGTATAGCTGAGTAACGTTATGCATTCGTCCATTGATGCTAGCCAACCCCTACTGTATTCAAGTGACTCTTGAAACATCACAGTGGCTCAGTGGTTAGAACTACTGCCTCACAACGCCAGGGACTTGGGTTTCATTCTCGCCTCGGGTGACTGTGTGGAGTTTGCACATTCTCTCTGTGTCTGTGTGGGTCTCTGCTGGGTGCTCTGGTTTCCTCCCACAGTCGAAAGATGTGCAGGCTAGTTGGATTGGCCATGCTAAATTGCCCATAATGTTCAGGGATGTGTAGATTAGGTGGGTTACAGGGGTAAGGGAATGGGGCTGGGTGGAATGCTCTTTGGAGGGCTGGTGTGGACTTGCAGGGCCGAAGGGCCTGTTTCCACACTGTAGGGATTTTATGATCTCAAAGTGTCTCTATTCTCTAGCTTACTCAAAAGAAGAAACTGTGAATTACTTTGATATTGATACTGAAATTGATTTTCACCATTTGTATGCCTGCCCCCTTGACATAAATTTGAGTTAAGCTTAAAAACTAACTTGAAAGTGTTGGAAACTATTTGAAATTAAAAACATGGATACACAATTAACATGTCAAGTACTGCCGAATTACAAGTGAGCATTTTACCACATGCACTTTAAGATTGAGCCATACATTTACCCACAGGATCAAAACAAAGACTTTCCATTCCAAAATTTTACACAATGTTCCTTTTTATGCATATTGGTCATGTTTCAGCAGCAGCTTGTAAACTTTTCTGTTTGCCTCAGGGGAGGCCACTTTATTGAGTGGCAATTTATAAATAGCTTTGTTGTTGCTGGTAATCAGTAGAAACACCAGTGCGGAAAGGCAGAAGGGCCAAGTTCCTGCAGGTAATCCAAACTGGAAAATAACATAAAAGTAGAGTTACAACAGCAGTACAATTTCAGCAGAACAACTAAAGCACATTACAAATGCATCTGTAGAATTTTGTCTGTTATCAGGTCAAAGCAACGGTGAGAGAAATGTTCCATTCGTGCTATTTTTATGCCATTGATCAAGAACAAATGTTTGTGAGGGTTACTGCCTGCTCTTTTTTGAAAAAAAATGTCAGGCAGGCCTTGGTTTAGCATCTTATCTGAAAGGCAGAATTTCTGATAATGCAGTTCTCCTTCACCTCCATAGATGGGGCAGTGGAATAGATTTACAAAACGGGAGAGCAGGACTGTCCTTAGAGCTGGCCTGTAACAAGTAATTCAAATTTATGGTTTCCTTATGTGAACTAGCCGAATGAACAAAATTACTGGGGGAACAGGGCATTTTCTGGAATGTGCAAGAGCTGTGGAGAGGTCCCATTGTTATCTAAAGGTCCTGACTGTGGGAGAGTGTGGTCCTGACCTGATAAGGTTGGGATACAATGATGGTCAGGGTCTTGAACACGAAGGTTGTTCGAAGCAAGTAGCAAGCTAAATCTGAGATAACAAGGTGTAGAGCTGGATGAACACAGCAGGCCAAGCAGCATCATAGGAGCTTTCCTGCTCCTCTGATGCTGCTTGGCCTTCTGTGTTCCTCCAG